ACACTCGCTCTGGAGACCAGACTGGCCTCAAACTCACAGTGACCCACCTGCCGCTGCCTCCCTAGTGCTGGGATTAAAGGCATGCGCCACCAACGCCCGGCAATATTTTTCTTTCTTAAAGTTCTCTCTTTTATTGACCAAGGAAGTAGGCAAGAACAAACAAGCACATGAGGCATAGTGGTACTCCAGAAGCAAACATAGGACAAAGTGAATCATAAGTAGAGTAAGTGAGAAAACAAAGGTTGGATATCAGAAATTAAAATATTTTATTATTTATGCAGATGAGTTTTAAGTAACATGGAGATTTTTTCATACAGTATATTAGGATTATGGTTTATCCTCCCCCAATTCCACCCATTTCCTCCACATTGCCCCTCTTCTCCAGAGCCATAGTTTTCTATCTCTTTTTAGAAAACAAACTGGTACCTAAGGTATAAGATAAATAACAAAAACAAAACAAGTTGGGAGAGGACAAAACAAACAGGAAAAGGAGACAAATGACAAGCACAAGAGCCACACATAGACTCAGAGACAGACGTTAGCACACTCAGAGATCCCATAAATACTTGAAACTGGAAGCCATGACAATCATTAGACAAAGAACCTCCAAAGATATTGAGTTTGTTTTGTGTTGGCCATTTATTGCTAGCCACAGAGTATACCTTTAAGACTTGTTTGTTTCTTCACTGAGACTCCTTTGGAGAAAACTGCCTTTTTATTTGCAAGTAGAAATCAATTGGAGATGGCTTATGGGTTAGGATGTGGGCATGTGCCCACTTCTCCCAACTCTGAAGTCTTATCTGTTTGTCTGGTGCAGACCTGTATAAGCTGAATGCTACCACAGTCTCCGTGAGTTCATATGTACGTAGGTCCAGTTTGTATTTAGAAGGCCATATTTCCTGTGCATGTTCATATGAACTCTGTGAGTTCATAATGTTGCTTTAGAGGGCCTCACTTTTTTGGGGGGGTGTCTTTCATTCCCTCTAGCTCATATATGCTTCCCACCTCTCCCCCTCATCTTACATAGTATTTCCTGCGCTCCGAGGGAAGGGATTTGATTGAGACATTTTATTTAGGTGTGGGTGTTGCAAAGTCTCTTACTCTTTGCACCTTGTCTGGCTCTTTGTCCCTGTGTTTGTTCCTATCTGCTGTAGAAGTAAGCTTCTCTGAGATGGCTGAGCAAGACACTGATCTATGAATATAGCAGAATGTTGTTAGGAGTCATTTTATTGCTAAGTTCCTTAAGCAGAACATTAGTATGTGGTTTTTCCCTAGGTTCCAATCCTATCTAGTCTCAAAATCTTTTCCACTGTGGTAGTTTGAATGTAATTGGCCCCCATAACCTCACAGGAAGTGTCCCTACTCGAAGGTGTGGCTTTCTAGTAAGTGTGGGCTTGTTGGAGGAAACATGTCATGTGGAGGCAGGCTTTAAGGTCTCATACATGCTCAAGCCATGCCTGGTGTCTCAGATCTCTTTCTGTTGCCTGCAAATTAATGTATTAACACTTAGCTCATTCTCTAGAAATATTTCTGCCTGCATGCCACCAAGTCCTGCCCTAATAATAATAACAAACCTCTGAAAGTGTAAGCCACCCAATTAAATGTTTTCTTTTATAAATGTTGCTGTGGTCATTGTGTCTCTTTGCAGCAACACAAACACTAAGACAGCCACCTAAGCAGTAGTGGAATGGGCTCAATTTCAGCACCTGGGCTATAAATTAAATTTTTTAGTGTGAAAACAGAAAAGTCTCACTTTAGCAAATGAAGTTCAATTCCTTAAAAAACATTGACTTACAGAGACATCAGCAGAACCATTAAGGAAAATAACCCAA